CCCATTTTCGAAGCCCACGATGGACACATCTGGGTGCCCGATTTTGACCATATTTTCGAATGCGGGTTTTTTAGCTTTTTTATGTTCTTTAGGCTTCAAGCTACGCGTGGCTACAAAATCTAAAAAATCGGACCACGGGAACTGCCTTTTTTCAGCCGTCAAACTCCGAGGATCTGCGAGTCGATTTTGCAGACTTTGGAAACACGTAGCCGGGCTTCCCCTCGACTTTTTTAAACGTTTTATACGTCAAAAAACTCGTCCGGAAATGCTCTATAAAACGGGCTAAAAAAATCCATTTTTTTCAACCCATCCGAATTTTGCCCATTTTCGAAGCCCACGATGGACACATCGGGGTGCCCGATTTTGACCATATTTTCGAATGCGGATTTTTTAGCTTTTTTGTGTTCTTTAGGCTTCAATCTACGCGAGGCTAAAAATGGTAAAAAATTGGATAGCGGGAACTATGTTTTTTAGCCGCTTCGCAGTAAATTACTACATATATGCTACTATATACCTATTTTATTCCCACCTAACTATCAATTCTTTTCTACTCTATAGATGGTCATTCTTTTTCGAAATCTAGGTCTTATAAGCCATTTATCCACACCTTATATGTCAAATTGATTTTCATATATAATTAAACCTATCTTTTCAATACCCTAGAAAGCCAAAAACCCTGCAATGAGTTCTTTTGATGCTATTACCCTGCCTCTAATCGTTATCCCTCGCTAAACCATGCGAATTCGGCGAGCCAAGAATCGAAGATAAAAAAAGCTCGGAACTCGAACCTCGTCTCCGCACAGAAAACCAGAATCCAAGTAGAGCATCGAGGATGGACGTGGAAAAAAGTCAGTCCCTGCCAATTTCCTATTTATACCCCCGTTTCTGTTCGATTGCTGCGCGGGTCATCGGGAACGAGAGCGCGGCGTGCGCGAGCAGGAAGAAGAAAATCGATGACAGACGTGGAACGTAAAAGCGGGCCGAGAAAAATCGTGGCGAGCTCGCAGTGTAGACTGCTTTGCGATTAGTCATCGTTGCGAGAGTAACGATTTCCCGAGGCGTTACGTACGGTCGTTCGCTAGACGTGTCTCTCGAAAAGGGAACGATCCTGAGTCATCGACAGATGCCAACGTACCCCGATGTCGCTCGCTCGTCTGCGCGCGGAGGCCAGCGTGTTCACGTGGCCGCGTGAACGCGTGACGATGATTTACTTCGCCGTTTAACCCCCTCGAACGGTAACCGGTTACGAAACTCGTCCGCGTTCGCCTCTTCCTTTTCGTTTCAGTTTTCGCCTATTCCTTTTCATTGCCATGTCGCCACGTGTTCGCCACCGCGATGGAAAACAAAAACAAAACCGTCGTGCTGGGATTTCTCAGGTTTATCGATTTAATGGGGTATTTTTGTAATCCGGCTTAAAATAATTGTCTTGGGGGGGGGGGGGATTTTCTCAAACGTATATCTTTGGACAAGGCATTGTACAGCTATTGGAATCTGCCTTTGTTTTCTACTATAAAAACATGTCAAATAGAAATTACCTTGCTACCTCTAGTATTAACTGGAAAGTACTGATATTCTTAGATTGGTCCTTGGTATCGAGTGAATTATTTACCTGTCTGCAGTAGACTGAATTGCATAGAAATTACTAATTCGCGTGTCAGCGAAACATAGAAAATCGCATAATTCGGAATTTTCAATGACTTAGGAGTTAATATCCAGTCGTATATCTTCTGTGGACATTTGTATAATAAATCCTGTGATATCTCCGTGCAAATGAGATTTGCCATACTTCTTTCTCATTTTCCAACCCGAGCCTCATAAATCATTCGTCTACGTTAACATTTTTATTAATTAAACCGGCAAAAACGCGAGATAGAAAAGCAATAAACTTGAGGAAAAATGGAGCAGTCGTATTTGAAGGTTTTTACAGGACGATATCGTGCACTTATCGAGTTTAGCCTTTCGAATGAAAGTTGTGTCCTTTGGAATAAATATCACTACGTTTCACGAGCATTATCGTTATCCTCATCAAAGGTCGTGGTGTAACTTCATCGAGATAGCCTGATCGCCATCGGTGTGTCACTCGACCCCTGATGAAGCTAGACATACTTGCGAAATTATGGAATATTTCTCTCGAAAGGACACCAGCCTTACCCAAAAGCCTCGACAGTAATTAACTATCAATTAGTTGTCATGTAACGAGCATGCAAATTTCCACAAAAAAGGCTTAAATACCTAAAATATCTCGCAGTAAATTCCAATAAAGACTTGGAATACATTTGCAAATAATTTGTATTCAAGATATCTGCACTCACATGTTGTACAGTGTGTTCGTTTCGTCTAGACATGTATAAATATCTGGAAAAATACGTTTAATATAGGAAAACGTTTCAAAATATTACAAAATAATAGGATATATATTATTTATTTATTTGAGAAATTAATTTAAAAAGCGGATTTAAATTTCCATATAAGAATTTATATTTTTAATTAAATATTCTCATACATTACAATATTCACAGAACACCGCCATTATTTAAATACACTTACAGTACGCGACAAAATTTTCAATGCTTTTCAAATCAAAAACAAATTTACAATCAAATTTGACTTTACAGAGGAAAGTTAGTACTCTACGAAATTCTTGATAAAAATTAAAAAAAAAAAAAAATACTATCTTCAGATACTTTTTATTTATTTATTTTATAAACCTCTAAGACGGTAAACAATCTTTTATTTCAGATTCCGATTCATCGGATAAAAATATAAAAGAAACCTTTCTACTTTCAAAAAACAAAATCTCGTTGATCCATTTTCTTGGTACCTGTGTTACATAAATAAACAAATAAACTACGTATATATGTAACATATGATGAATTAATTTTTATATAATTGCTATTATTTTTCGACATACTGTACATCGTATACGATGTAGGTTAGGCTGTCGAACTTTGTAGCCTCGATGACTCCGGGAAAACCAGATGGCTCCAGAGTTCGAAAGTTCACATCTCGATAATGATTCACGCAAGAATCCGAACAATTATTATTCCTCGCAAACGATTCGATAGTCCATAAAATCTGCAATAAAATCTGCGGATCCTCGCTGAAGAATTTAAATATAACCTTCTTCGTGGGATCTTCCTCGCCGCAAGGTTATCGCGAGATCGAGTAAATATCCCATTCTTAATATTCGACGATATTTACCCGACGTATTTTTCCAGATATTTGCACGTGGCTGAGTAAAACAGCCGGACTGCGGAAACGCTGCCACCAATCTCGACTTCTGGTATCCGCGACGCCTCTTACGCAACGCGGGATTTCTATCGGCAGAGGATGAGGATCGATCGTAGAAGAATATATTTACCGCTGTCGACGAGTATCTGGCAGAGTCGGGGGAGGAAGAGAGGCCGATGCCGCATGACATGCCATCGCTTCCTAGACTACTATGAAAACTGCTGTGCAAGGAATTCAACAGTGGCCCCGGGGATGCTGGCGACGCCGTCAAAGGGGACTTCGATCTCACCGAATCCGTCCTCGACCTGTAAATCAGTAAATCGATTACACGCTCGATGCAGAAGCACAGCGAGGCTTTCAGGTTTCAGACAGTGACACTCGCAGGAGAGCTGTGCACGAGCGTTTGAACAAGCAGCTTCTATGGCAAGGCTGTCTTCGAGAGGGTACAACGGGGTCTATGAATGCGCGTCTGTGCTCAAGCTCGAGGTTCAGCACGGATTTTCCGAGTCTCGATGGATCCCGATGGCAAAGCAGCGTGATAGGACCTGCTTGGCATTGACAGAGTTCGGCTTATCGTTAGGCTCGTGCTCGATAAAAGCTTGGATGGGTGTAATAACTCTTTGGGGTACAGGATTGCAGATAACAAAATAGACCCGTGTTGCATCGGAATTTTATTGCGTTTTAAATGAAATAAAATTAGTATAGAATTAATTTTTGTAAAGATTAACTTACTTTTATGATTTTTCACATAAAACCAGGAAACAAAGATTGTCGCGATAAACCTTCCGCTTGCAACAATTGATGAACCTGTACTGGCATGTTGAAGGTATTACCAACTGCTTAACGTAAATAAGACGAAATGAAAACTTATGCGCATGCAGCTATTGCAATATTCCGAGGTGGGACTGAAAATATTCCACTTTAAATTACGGTACATCGAAAAGGTGGGGCACTTTTAATCCCAGCGTGCCCCAAAGAGCTAAGAGGAACCACTCCTTCTAGAGGTACAGCTTGATTGGACTGATGAGTTGATCGCTCGATTTACTCGAGTTTGGATGTATATATCGTTGACAGAAAGAGTATTAGCACGCTATATTACAAGGAAATTCGTCCGATGAGAATGATCGTGTACGTGTACAACGTGATGGGTTCTAGAGGGAGCAATTGTTTTCTGAACGTGAAATCTTTTTAATACTTGGTTTACCAGGGCGTTTGATTTCCACGTATCTCGAATTTCACGAGGAAAATTGCAGAAACCGTTTATATCTAAATAAAAATAATCTCCGCGAGTATATATCTCATAAGATCATTTAAAATTTAATAGTATATAATGTCTGCTTTCGTTTGTGTGCGTAATGTCCATAAATCTAGTGTTAAGAGAACCAAATAGAAAGAAAGTTTCGGTATTTTTTCATGCTCTGATTATAGTCTTTTTCCGGAATCCTAATTTTTTTTATAAGAAATTTTGCTGTATCTTGTACTATTACGAAGTTAAATTTCAAAAAGCCAAAATTCGATTGCTGATTTCATCTGCTCGGAGCGATATTACGTGACGAAAATATCGTTGCATACATAATTTGTTATGATATACGTATTCATAGAATTTCATCGGAATTAAAAAGTTCACATCAGAATTTTGTAGTTAGATGATTTTTCTTGCAATGTAATGTGCCAATACTATTTTGACCCAGTGTATGTACTTATATACTCGAGAAATTTAACATTCTACTTAAAATGACATAAGGATTAACCCTTTGAGAACGTCCCGTGACAGAGTCTAGAAAAATATTTCAAAATTAATCACGCTATACTTGATTATTAACCTTTAACTGCTGTCGTATGTCAAATTGACTCCTGGTTACCTATGCTGAAGTATGTCAAAGTGACTCTCTATCGGTAGAATAGCGGTGACGTGACGTTGAATTTACTCCTTGTCACTACCAACGTGATGGACGACTAGTAATATTATAAACACAATAAAATTATCTAGGGAGTAACAAATAAAATTGAAAACTGTCATGTTTAATATCATTGACGTGATGTTCAAACGACGGTCACTACTTGAAGGTAAAAATAATATTATTAGTTGCAATTAAATATATTTAAAAAATATACAGAATTTTTCTAATTCGATCCCGATTCGTCTCGAAAAATATTTACTTGACCACGAGAAAAGAAATCGGAAATGGTACATACATCGTCCTCGAAGGGTTAATTTCAATCGATTCTCAGACTGTCACAGATCTAGCCTAGATAAATTGCGATATTTTTAAACTGAGAGTTCCAACATGCCCTATATCTCAAAGGACCTTCGTCGATTGTTGGCACAAACTCAAAAACAAAATCGAGGGTTTTTCTAGTAGCTCAATAAGCTAGCTACCGATCAACGAGTCCCGAGCTCTGTCAAGATTTATGCCACGCGACTTGACAAACGGGAGCAAACAATTTTCCAAACTCGAGGACAGGGGCTTCCTGGAATTGGGGAATTTCTCGGATTATTTTTCAAAAAGTTTGAACGAGCCAGGTCGCCTAGACTCGTTTCATTATCGCGAAGAATGCTTAATCCTTGGCATGCTGCCACTTAATCCGCTTTCATCTCTCGAATTATTCGTCACAGCTTTCGCGACGTGCTGAATACGCGTGTTTTTCTCGAACATGTGCGCGACACGTCCTTCGATGGTTCGCCGGAATACCATCGTCGAACAGATCCGGCAGATGTTCAACAAACCCGCGATTTTGCCGCGTTTATCGCAGTTTTGCCAGATGCTCGTTAAACTTTCAGTTCCGTGTACCACTCGATCAAACCTGTTCGCGAAATCAGTTGTTCTTTACTGAATTCGTCGAAGATGTACCTTTCAAAAGAGTGGTTCTCGAAGAGTGTACCGTGTAGTATGCGAAATATTTTGTACACGTGTCTGTGCTTTACATGTTCGCTGCCATTTTTACTTTTGGGACTTGACAGTTAATTTTATCATTCATATATAACGTAATGTGTATAATCTCAGAAACGTACTGAATTTTTAGAGACGATAACGAGACGTAAAATCTGTGATACAGAATATTTCCCATGAGAGAATCTTCTACGCGTGCCTATGACAGTCGATAGAGTCAGTAAAGGCACAAATCGAAGAACTATGTATAAATCACGTACAAATTTAGGGTTGTTTACATGATATACATATATGAGCTACGATACTGTAAAGAATGTAAAAAATTCGAGAAATTCGCCAATTCGCTCGTCCCTTTTCCCAAGCCTCTGTCAAACGTGTCCCAGAGAGCCAGGAGAATTCTCGACTTTAACAGCTCCTTAAGAAAGGCAAGCAAAACAGGCTGACGGCGGGGAACGTGTTAAATTAGCGTCCGTTTCTCTTCAGCCTCGTTTCTCGCTCATCGGGACGCTGAATCAAACGGAATTAAACAAGTGTAAGCAGCGTTAAAGCCGGCGCGTACAGTCTCGCCCGGAACTCCGACGATCCATCCGAGTTCCGTCGACGGACCCGCAGACAGCAGCCTTTTGTGCGCCGCGCGGTCGAAAGCTGAAAGGTCGGGTAGAAGCGTGTGCGCGTATCTCTCGGTGATCTCTGCTGGTCCACGGGTTAACGTGGAAAAATCGGTCGCGGTGCATGCAGAACGCGAGTCGAAGCGATCGAACGCGGAGATCGTCTAAACGTGCTCCGTGAAATTGCACGAGTGCCTCTAATCTATTTCTAGATGTGTGTGTTCCACCGCGAGCTGAATACTGTGACGCCGGCAGGACCAGGCGTTTACAAGTCTCTGTTGATCTCGACGACCATTCGCGACCGAATATAATTCGCGTGTAATCGCTCCGATAGGACTTCTCTGTTCCATTTGTCACTCCAACTCATCCCGGATGAAATCTATGTATCATGGAATGATTTGCAACTATGTACTTCGAGATAAATCAATGGAGTATTGGAGTACTTAACATTGACAATTTTGCAGAGATAAAATTGTATCGTCGAGTAATTATTTTTAAGAAGAACTTCGTGTCACCGTGGTATTAGAAGACTCTACGTCTAATAATAGGTAATGACCAATTAGGGCCAGAATGTCACTCGAATAGCCATGACCCAACAGTCGTGGAATTCATCCACCTCGTTCCTCAAACTAGTTAAACTCCAACGACAATGACCCGAAACCTATGACACGCAAGACACTGTCAATCGTGACATCGGAGATATCGATCCACACACGGACTACTACCCTTATTACGATCTACGTCCACCGAGGTAGAGGTACTCGGGACGGAGCACAGCAGTCGGTCAGACACGTGGAACCTTGAAAAGCATGTCACCTGGATTGCAGAACCAGTCGTGGACCATTCTAAGACCAAGAAGCCGAGCAAGAACCATTCCATACTCGTGGAACCTAGACTGTCTCGAGCCTCGAGGCTGCAGGAGTCTAGGGTGGTCTGAAACTCGTCCCCGGTCGATTCCACGATCCTACGATCGTCTTTTTCGAGGTTCTACTGGCTCCGAGATGCTTCGCCGCGTGGACCCCACGGTGTAACCAAAGTTGCTTATTTTATCAGGAATAACGAACGTCTGTATGAGAATACCACGGCTGTTAATCTGTCGCAAGCATCTGTCCGGCTAGCAATTTACACCGCGATCGTTTGCCCGTCGCTCGGAAAGACGCGCGAAATCTACGATCGTTGCTCGATCCCGCGTGATCCGGCTAATGAATAGCGATCTTCCAGCGCGAGCTTCCACCAGCTCGAGATGAACGACCCGACAAAAACAACCGACCAAGGATTATCCTGGGTAATTGTATCTGACACGAAACCGGCTTTGTTCGCGAACGGTACACTACGGCAGGTTTATGCGTCACGAATCACGTATGGGGAAATCGGGAAAAATTTTCGGCGCAGGATCAAGATTTAAAGCGACTTTGTTTGTTATTCGATTCCGGAGGATTTATCGAGTGATTTCTAAAGTAGCGGGTTTGTGTAATTGAACAATGTACAATTCGAGAGTTTACCACGAGCAGATAAGACTGGAGAAATTAAGATTTGTAAAAGGGAACATCTGTCGTTAATGCAACGAAGGATATGATCCATGTGTTAAGACGTTGTAAGACACATGTTCATGGAGATCTTTTTTCTCGTGTCGATGAGTATCGTATATCTCTCGGGCTTTTTCCTCTTAAACGTTACCGAGTCTACACGTGAACGGCTGCCCGATCGGAAAAATAATTGCGCTCGTGTGTTTCATCTAGATAATTTCTTGCGAATCAGAGAGAGCGACGTTAATGAAAATTTCGCGGTTAAACTTTATAAATCACACGGCGATAATAATTAATAAATATCTCGTACCTCGTAGAATATAAAACAACTGGAGCCTGACCTGAAATTATCTACTAAAAATCTTCCATGATTTATAAAACTCCTAAGAGAAAAAGTAAAACCAAATTTAGACTCGTTATGTGGCATATGAAAATTATTTACTGAAAACTTCTAATTACACACGAAATATGACCTAAATTATTTATCCACGATCTTCTCTATCCTTATAAAAACAAAATCTAGGTAAAATATGATCTAAGATTGTTATAAGTACCTTTTACGAGGACCTCGCAAGGGTCCTTCGAATCCTGCAGACAACCTAAACGCGTAGCTTTCCGTCTCTAAATGAAAATTATTTATCGACAACCTTTCACTATATTCACAAAATTGCAAACTGAATATGATTTAAATTATTTATCCAAGATCTTCTCTATCTTCTCCCCTCCTAAAGAAATGGAAATAAAACTCGACATAAAATCGTTGCAAGCACCTTCTGCGACGCGTCAGAATCCTTGGAAACCTGCAGAGAACTTGCCATCGCGAATCTCTTCACCCCGGGATATCCGATCGCAAGCTACGTCACCGTAGTGTACGCGTTAAATTCAATGCAACAAGTTAAACGGAATTAAACGAAGCGGTCGAAAGCGACGCGACAGTGAACGACAGTCCCATTGAAAATGGCGACGGAGGCTGGCCGGAGATTTTCAACGGTGGCCGTAGCCGTTGCTCCTTTTGTCGCGCAACAGCTCAGCGTATTTACAGTATCAGCATTCAGGCGGTGAAGTAACGACGAAGAAGCCGAGAGAAAGCAGCGTGGGACACCGGGTACGTACGTCGTGGAACACGCGAGACGGCAGGGCAAGAATTACGCGCGCCGCGTCCGCTTCAGCTGGTTCGCGCGCTCTTCCACACGCCGTCCTCCGCGCGTGCACGCTTTTACTTCCTTCTTCCTACGGGTCTCCTCGACCACGGCCACGGTCGCCACCAGAAGAAAGGTTGCCCCCGTCCTTTCTCGCGTCCCGCTGCCTCGCGCCGACAGCGATTTATTAACCCTCGCGAGCGTTCGAGCGCGGCTTTTCAGAGGAACGGTGAACGCACCGCCGCGGAGGGCATTGTTCTTCGCGAACGTAAATTTGGAAAGTTGGACAGCCATACTTTTGCGCGCTTGCTACGTCCCTGCGCGCTCGTCCTCCGTGTCCGGTGCACGGTTCAACAGATTTTTTCCCAAACTTTCGCTGCTCGTTTTTAGTGAAATTTCGTAGACTTATTTGCCCTTTCCTCAATTTTATTTCTCCTTTTTTCCGTCTGAGTTTCAAGTAGTACGGATGATGAAACGAGCCAGGACGAGTGGAAGCTTCGCGCGATCGAGCGGCGATGATATCGGTTTCAATTGCCTTTCTATTTTACGTTCACCTGGTGGGTGTTGCTTTTTCCACGAGCTACTCCTCGAGAAGAACGATCCCCGTGAACGCTCTATCTGGGGGATAGTCCTGTTGTTACCTCCGTAAGTCAGTGTCCGAGGAGCATCGATTAATTTGAACGTCGATTAGCGAGGATCCATTAGCGGGAGCATTAGTTACCCCAGTGACATGATCCATTACTCCGCGCGGTGTCAAAAATACGTTAGAACTAATTGGAAGTGGTTCAAAGTAAATGACTCCGGCCTAAAGCTAACCGATTACAGATTGCGAGGCTTAGGTTATCAACAGCTGCTCGATCTTCGACGGATTTTTCAGACTCCTGCGTTCACTCACCGCTGGCTCCAGCAGCTCTGACTAGCTATGCGAGTACTCTAAACTCCCCAGACGGTGTTTTACATGAAACAGAGCTACCAGCCATAATAGTTGGCGACTTTTTTCTCCGTTTTACGCATCCTTTTCTTCCCCTGTAAATTCCACGCGATAAAGGAACTTTCTCTCGGCTTCGCGTTCGTCGCCTACGTCATTACTATTAAGACTAAGGCCATTCACCGACCCTAACGAAGCCCTGAAAAGCGCGACGACGTACAAACGGTGGGCTCTTCTCCGCGTCTTGCTCTTTTTCCTTCCGTCCCTTACACCATCGAATCGTCCAGCATTCTTGTTCACGCGCTGTTCGGCTTCGTTAGGATCGGCGCTCGGCTCGGCTACAAGTCTGCACACCATAGGTGAATACCTTTCGGGCGACAGCTGGTCGACAAAGCCGACCACCTTCTTTTTCGTTCCGTGAACGCTGAGCGAGGGCATACTACAAGGAGGGGTAACGATTTACGATGAACAACAAGCCGAATTATCCCTTCGGCTTACTTAGGTATATAGCCTTACCGTTCAAGATGTCCCGAGTGAAATGGACGCCGGGAACGAGCCGGATCGCGAATCAATTAGCAATGGTGTCTCGGATGAAACGACGAAAGCCAGGAGCCGGAATTCGACGATTAAACGTCGACTCGTGGCTTTCTATGCGGCAAGAGCCATGCACGCGATGGTTGATCTTTGGGAAGGTTTTAGATGATTGATCGTTTCCACGAGTGGGCTTGGAGGTTCAGATAGAGGCGAGTTCGATTGTGGAAATGAATTTATTCAGCTGAGACCGGGGGATCGAAGGACGATATGATGATTTTGAAGATTGAGTAAGAGGTGAGAGGGATTGGATGCAGTCAGTCGTGTTGAACTTTGTCAGTGAAATCCTGGGTAAAGTTCAAGAATTTTGATTATGACTAAAGTACGAATGGAAAGTGACATTGAATTGGAGTATTCGTGTGTCGAGTGTTGGAAGTGTAGGAAGAATAAATTCGAATACAATGGTGCAATAATGTTTGAATTTCTTTTTAATTTTAGCTCAGACATTTGCACTCCGAATTATTTTTCAGTTTGGTTACCAATAGCTTCCTTCCATTTTAAGTATTCTGTTCGAAATTTACTTCATAGGACAGTTCTTCGATTGCTACTTGTTTTAAAAAATTTAATTTACTGATTATATTAAATATAGCTGTCAAACATTGTTGTGATTGAAGTAGTTACTTATTTTCTGTTTTCTTGTTCAGTAAATAGGGAATTGAAAAACGTCGAGTGTAACTCGATAAAGGAGTGCATAGGATTAAGTTTGATTACTTATTTTTGATAAATCCAATTACGTAAAGAAAGATGAAAGATTTACTCTTTCTCAATTTCACTCCTTAATTTCAAAATGAAATGAAAGTTACTGACAATCTATTAGGGGAAAGAATTGGACAGAAATTATTTTTTTAAAATAGATAAGAAAATTCGTATACCAAAATGGGAATACTATGAAAATATTTGCTCATATCTCTCCCATAGCAGATACGGTTCAAAATCAACATACGTCCTAAGTAAACGAAGGCTCTATCCCTTATCCGGATCCCAGTGGACGTGTATTACGTTTCTTTAAGTTTTCTCGGGACATCTTGCACTAATATGTACACATGTATATGTATATTTGTATGTATAAGGAAACGGAGTTTGTATCGTAATCAAAGAAAAAGCTGGATAAACCCTAATCTACGTCAAATCAAATATGTATGCTTCGTGAATCTAAGGGTAAATGAAACAATGACCGTTATTCTTTGAAAAAGTGTATAATTACAATGTCAAAAGAAAGTTGAGGAATCACATTTTTCGATGAATGGAATATCATGAGGTTTCACAAACTGTTCTAAATTTACCGTGATTTAAACGAAGTATTTTGTTATTAACGAGTGCACATATGCGAATTGGGTTGGTACACTGAGGAAATATAAATATAATTCGTACTAATATGAATTAGTACGAGCCTGGCTTCTATGTTTAAATATAGATATTTCTTTTCATAAATGAGTCAGAATCTTCCGTTATTTCAAGTTCCATGCCATTCCCTAATTAATTTATTCCACGTCTCACTATTATACACCCTGATAACAAAATACGTCGAATAAACCAAATTTGCATATAAAAATCTACTGATTCCAAACAACGTACTACAACCTATACTCTAAACTCCTCAACACTCACAGAAATAAAAGATAAAAATGAAAAAGGAGGACCGGAACCAGAAATAAAGAACAATTTACCCCTTTGCACTCGAGCAATGACTCTCACAATCAATGAAACTAGACATGGAATATTAAAATGAATTAATTCTATTCGTTCGTTTCTCACGCAGAGGCGTGAGTTTATTTTTAGCATGGAATGTATATATCATCGAGCCTAGAGAAATATAAGAAAAGCTTGGAATTGTTAGTGAGTGCAAAGGGTTAGAATATATATTTTGAATAGCCATGTCTCTGAAACCTTACCCAGGAACAAGCGGTACGTTCCAAGCGGTGCTCTGACATCCGACTAGCAACTTTGACCAAGTATTATTAACAACATAACCGCTGACCATTTCCTGGTACCAACAGCGGACGCAGTTGCGAAAGGCGAAATGCAGAGGTAGCAGAAACGGAACGTCTTTCGAGCACGCGCGTCGAACGTAACACTTCATCTGCGTTCCAGGAAGTCTGGGATTTCTCTCGCTTTTCCCTTTCAGCCGGTAGTAATTAAGAGAAAATGACACGTACCTGTTCGACTTTGGCGTAACGATGTCTCTAGTTTCGGACGTGTATTTCCTTTCAGCACGGCCGCCGTTGAAAAGCTCGACGGTCTCCCTGGTAACCGTTTCCAGGAGAGGTTCTCCGCCCCGTCTACCCTTGCTGAACGTCCTTTGATCCGTTTTACGGACCATAACCACCCTCGACAGCGGTTGATTGAATTCATGACCGTGCATCGTTGGCGGAATCATCGCTAACGACTGCGAGAGGGGCCCTCCGACTCGCGGGGACCTGAAACAGATTATTGACATTCCGGAAATGAGCAGATTTGCATCGAATGCTGCATATTCTAAATGAAAATATCGCTTATGCTACGATTAACTTGCTAATGGAAAAAATATTCTTTTCTTTCCTCTTTCTTTAGAGATTTAATATCGCGTTGCTTTCGTAGACATTAAAGAAATTAAATTTTATATCTTCGGGCAATGACTTTGAGGTTAGATTATATTTTCCCATGATTATTTATGAATTCATAATGATATATATTGATCTATTATATATGCATACTGACTTAATCTATGACTGATGCGTTATTTTTGCAATAGGAAATAGCAGAAAAACCCTAGAAAACTCTAGAAACCTCTAGAAAACCCTAGAATACCCTAGAAAATTGTAGTATTTATTTCACTCTCCTTAGCTTCTGATTGCAGTAGTCATTTTGTCAACAAATTGTATTAATTTTAAATTCCCGATTTGACCATTTGAAGAATTTTTGCTAAAAATTTGGCATTTACACGTAATACATTCGCAAGAGACAAGACGACGCCTGAAAAGTCGGAAGAGTGCAATTCCATGTTTCAAAGTCTATAAACGTGAAATTGATAACTCACGTTACTCTCAGGAGTGCATAATCGTAAGACAAATTTGTCATCCGTATTTGGAGCCCTCCATGTTGGGCAATAATAAGGCAAGGCTCTAATTCGAGTTTTTAACACCACAGTGTGGAAGAAACAAAGTCTCTAGAGAGTGATTTAGCGAAGCACCAAGCTAGTATCTCGCGAATTCCTATTACCAAACGCATGGATGATTTTAATGAAATTATGGTAGGCAGTTTAATGGAGGTGAAACATATTACGGCGTATGCTTGGGTTACAAGAACTTTTCTCCCGTGGGATCGCGATGGGTTTTCAGTCCCATAGGAAAAATGCGTGCTTAATATACTACATACATGCATTGCACGTTGGCTTATTAACGAGATTAATTTATCACGAGCCATTAATTATCGTGCTCAAATACTTTACGAGATAATAGTCGGAATATGTATACCCAAATAATTGTGCTTTCGCGGAAAAGCTACCGTGGGAAAGAAAATATAAAATACGCAATACCCTGTCAATCGATGGCCATTGTATCAGATAACTTATCTTGATCCCTCGCTTTCTAAACACGAGGAATAATGATACTGTCAACGATGAACGTCTGTAGGCGGCAGACTATAATGACATTAAAGAGGGAATCATTGTAAGATAATTTAGTTGCTTCAATTGCTAAATAGAACAATGACGTGACAAATGATATTTGACAAATGACGAATTTTATCGAACGGAAGACACGGTTTGCTATATGCCTGATCCCTACATGTAGACGTACTTATATACATAAATACACCATACATATATACTTTAGAATTTTAAACACTATCCTGTGTTTGCATATCTCAGTCTCGTGTAACATCAGACAAATTGACTGAGGAAAATCGTATCTAGTTTGAATATTACGGGGACAAAATTAATTTTGCGATACGTTGAATTATTGTCAATATATTGACCATAATTTACAGCTTGTAATTCTACGATTATATTCCAATTTTATTTGTTACGTGCAGGCTGATTAAAAATTCCAATTCATTCCGTAAACTCGTCTCTTCTCGTGAATACAATTTACGATATAAAAATTGCATTCATGACATCGAATTGAATTTTTCTTTCATCGAGGATCACGCAATACTTGACTCTTCAAACAGTCTTTAGAGATGCGAATTATCGTTACAAGGGAATCTTACTATAACGGGAAAGATGCTTTTGTGCGTGCCGGTTTGCAATGAACGTTAAGGTGGACACGTCTAATTACGACGTATGTGGTAATAACATCTCTCGGCCTATGAGCTCAGTATTCGTAGCGATGAGTGAACAACCTAGCACCATCATGAGACGTATAATGAGGCAGGCAGATGCAATGAAGACGTACAATTGACCGTAATTTTAGTCGTCCGTTGACACAGTTTAGGAATAGAACAGGTGTCATCGCTTGTTTCGAGCATGGACAAAATTTCCATATAATTGATACTTAAAAATACAAAATTTATCTATCAGGTCTCATTCTTTTACTTCTCATTCGCATAGCGAAGACTGGTTAAAGAATACGTTATATCCGAGAAATAATTTAAACGATGAAATGTAAACGAGTACCTTCGAATAAATTCGCGATTCTTTTTCAACGCGACTGTTATCTGCATCACGTTGTAGAAAGAACTGAAAGTAATAAATTATGAAAATAAAATGCTAATGCGCGAAGATATATTCCAGTTTCTAAAGCTGTAGATCTGGATCTTGGACCTCGCAACCTTCCATTTGCTAAATGACTACTCCAATAAATTGAATTGCCCACATAACCTATGGAATCTTCCTCCTTGATCATAAAAAGGTAATCTAGTGCTTCTGCATGTAACCCTTATTTATCATTCGAAACATTTCTATTTATCTTTCAGCATAAACTATTCGAAACGCTTTCAGAATCGATTCTGCCTTCTGAGATAATAGCTTCCTGAGACATTTAAAAGGAATTTCAGCTGATTTTGTGGGAACAACGAATGCAAAGCCTTGATGGAATTTCATCAAGGATAGCACAGCTCTATTTTAATCATAGAAAAATGTAAAATTATCACGCGGACCTTGGGCGCTGCTTTATTAATTAGTGTCACTACTTAACGCTTTCATTCGTGTAGAATCATAAAATAAACCGACGGAAAGTGTATTCATATCTGAACCTAAGAAATTTTCTCTCCAAGGACCTCGATATATCGCAAAGAATACTGTATCCAATACTGCAAGCAGAGTGTGGTCAATACCGACGATCAAACCGGTATTTTCCTCTTCTGAATCGCGGATAAAACATCCTATAAGCAGAGTCCCAGAAACTTTTTCTTCCCAGCACGCAAAACCATTCTGTTTACATAGGAATCTTACTAGAATGGTTTTTACTCTCGTTGTACATTTACTACGCTCACTCTATTTACTCGACCACAGGTACTGTTATTACCTGCGTTTAACAGAGAAGAAAACGACAACGGTACAATGTTACGAGTACTTTGCCGTTCTTGTAAAATTTCAATACAAGCGATATCAGTCCGGAAAAAATCTGAGAAATCATAGAAAGGAGAAAGGATCCTCGAAGAAACTATTTCTTCGCGAAAGAACCCTGTATAACTTCCCGTTAACCCTTATCTTTTAACAACACCGTTCCGACCTGCGCACAATCGCTCTGCGCATGCCGCGTAACTCCACGGTGACATCTGGCGTCGCACGCAACGTCGTAGAATCTCGCACAGGAACCTCGGGAAAGTTCGCGGCTTCGGGACTAAGGTTTCGCGCCCTTATCTTCTCGGGTTTCCGATAATTCGCTCGACACGTTCGAGCACACGAACTTGAACGCCTAACCGATTTCAACGCTCCGTTGTATCGCGGAATCCCGTGCATCCCGGGTACACCAGCGTGTATCCGCAATTCGGAATTGCCCGTGCAGGGACGGTTCGCGCGCTCTGAAGCGCTCGCAACCCGAAATTATCCGGTCGATTAAGCCGGTTGCCGGGTCTCGTTACTTTTAAAACCACGCTCGCTGGCTCCTCGTTAACCCCATCGTTAACGCGCAGTCAGATTCTCGTTCCGCGGGCAATTAAGGCTGAATTTCTCTCGTCCAGCGTCTAATCAACGGAGGGGCAAGTTAGAACGGCGACGTTATTGCGGATCCGCTCGTAAACCCGAGAAGGGGCCAGGTCTTGCGCGGCACGGCGAAAAAGCTTGGCAATGATTTTTACGATCACGAGACGACACGGGGTCGCGCTCGCAACGGTGAAACCGCGAGCCGATTGGAAAGGGGCGACTGACATGTTCGGCTTCGATGCACTCGCCGGAGGAAAAAGTAAAGCTCGTCGATCGTAAATCATCTCGATATCGTTGCCCAGGGTGAACGCCATTGGACTTTCCTCGCCCAGATAAGGACGCAATCTTGGCGCGATCGGAACTTGAATGAAGTTCGCGTGAAGAGCAACGATTTTAATTAATGGTTTATCCTCGTGAATTGCGTTAATTTCCAGGGTCTGTGTACTCTTTCAGAGAATAACTGCTGCGAATTATGCAGATACAGAGCGATTCCAGCTGCTCGGGATGAGATGAGTTTATGCTCTTTAACGTGAACGTTGGGGAAAGATGTTGGCTGTTAAATTGGGGATAAAAATTACTTTTTCTTTTTTTTTTTTTTTTCGCTGATCTTTGTTACGCGTCTGTAACAGCGTGATACCTTATTTAGTAGAATGGCCGCTTTCGCAGGATCGATTCCCTCTATTGTTTTCGACTTTGGGACAGCTAAGGATCGTGAAAATGGAACGAATGGATAAAACAACGGATATATACAGGGCTGAAGAAAAATGACGATGAAGTTACGTAAATCGAAGTCGCTCGATTCGACCCGCATTTCATTGCGACAGAAAAACAATTGCAGTTAGCCAGCGTTTCTCAAACAGCGATAATGCGAAAACCAGGACGTTTTGCTACGCTCGTGTTTGCTTCTTACTCGTCACGTAATAAACGTTCTTGTAGTTTACTATGATATTTTGCGACCGTTTTTCTAACCGAGTCGTAGCATTATTATTATCGCAGTTTCTTTTAAGTCGGTTTATGTAAAAATACGCTTGACATCATTCGATCCTTGCTTTTTCCTCCCATTAATGACGAAGTTATATAATTTGCATCTCCGCGTTCGTATATCAAGGTGAATCAGGAAATTCGTATCGGTATTTTACGACAGATAACATGCGAGATTCGTGTACGCTCGTTTAAAATTCAACGTTTATCTTTTTGCTCGAAATATTATCCTTCCAAGTATCCCAAGCATTTTTCCAGAATAAAATTAACATCGGGGAGTAGCAAAGAGGTAATTTTTCCCGTTTGCTTCACAACCGGAGGAACTCTTCTTTTTTTACCAATAATACTTTTACTCGTTCGAAATTACGTGTC